CAATTGCTCAAATCACTCTATGTAAGGCCAAATCAAAATCCAAAACAAGGCTTTGGAAAATTTTTGGTACCTAACTGTAGAACTACAGTTTTAAAACCCTTCATTCAACAGCAACTGGAGACCAAAAGTACAAATGTAACGTCAAAGTCAGTGCAGTTGACATTTCTGCTTCTCTGTACACTGAGACTGCCCTGAGCACATAGGTGCAAAAAAACACCAGAAGTAAGGCTTACATTCATGTGGTTTGCCCCAGTCAGGTCCCTGCTATCCACCTGAAAGCTTACTGGTGCTCTTATCAGATGTTAAGGGTTTCCAGTATTTGTCTAGGATACTGGAACAAGGCGGTGGTTTCACTGGAGCCATGACATGCAAGATATTTGCAATATATGGCACAGAAGGGATACAGCTGCACCCCTCATGGACAGCTGGTTGACAGTTACAGGTTGAGTGCTTCTGGGACAACCTGGTCAGAAGGGATACAGCACATGACTGGCAAGTCCTGTGAATCCCACAGCCGTATGACCTGATGCAGAACAATTCCCAGCTCAAATGCTAGTTCTTCTGAAGAGGAGACAGAAGCATAGCAGCATCCACTTGAATTCCCTCAGAAACTGGGAAAAAAGATGCCAATATCACCATGAGGCCTTATCTGGGACATTCACAAGCAGTCCAACACTCCACGAAACCCTGCAAAAGCAGGCAGGGGAACAAGGCAGGGCAACATGTCTTACCTCCTGACTCTGAGATGTTCAAAATCACATCCCCATCACACAGCTGAGATAAATGGCTTCTCTTGCAGTTGTGACACTGTTCAGAAAGAAAGCCAGGATTCATGAGGTCAGGAGTAAGACCAAGAGAAAGCTGACTTCTATAGTTTACTCTAACTTACTCTTAGTCACTGTCAGGGGAAGGGGTAGCCTGCAGGTTATGATTCCTGAAATGCACAGGCATATGAAACAACATATGAAACAACAGCAATTATTGTTTCTAGAAAACCGAAGTTCCCATTCTATATCACTCTTCAGAGAAAATAACATAAACCTAAAATCTAAAATCTCCATAAACAGGTTGAGAAAGACAAACTGTGCAATTATGTGGTAAAAGCTCATCTGCACACCCACAAAGGAGTACAGAGAGACAATGTCATGGGGATAGCCAAGTTATACTCTGCCCTGACTCCTTCCCAGCCCATTGCAAAAGCCATTGGCCCATTGAAGTCTCCCTGCACAAGTCTTGTGGAGCACAGGGACACAACAGCAGGTGGGAGCTCTGATTAAGAACTGAGGGGAAGGGTCTATTTGTCTGAACCCTTCCCAACGCTGTTCCAGAACAGCCCCAGTCCCAGGGTTCAGGCTGGAAATCTTATCAAATCAACACATCAACATTTGGACTGAGAGAGGTTGCATAGTAGCAATATGCAGACCAAGAGCACTTCAGAATTGCAGAGGACTTGCTGTAGGATGTTTAGGGGAAGAATCAAAGGCAGAGAAAGGGAAGGAGCTAGGTGATATGGGAAGGAATAAGTGTGGGAAAACAGAGGGATAAGGAGGTGGTATGCCTTTGGAGCTGGGTGGTTGTGGTACACTTCTGATGGCAAGGCCCCAGGAGAAGCAGGCTACTGGATCTTGTCTATTATATTCCCCTAATATAGACACCAAACATTTCACTTTGGAGGAAAGTGCTCTAGACTCAGAGCAGCGGATCACATGTAACAGCAAATGGAATTGCTGCCATGTTTTTTTATAATAAATTTGTTTGTTCTTTCTGAGGAACTACTGTAAGATAATAGTTCCAATGTAGAAGGATAGTAGTTCCTTTTTTCCAATAACCTTGGAAAGAAGGTCATTGCCATAAATCCTGAATGAATGAAGATGCATTAGTGGCAGCAAAGTTCCAGACAGTTTTTCAATCTACATCAACCATATTTTGAAACATGCAATGAATTACGTACATTGATGGGAAAGCACAGGTCCCCAGTTCTGGAGCTGGGTTTCCAAGGCCATAGATGTAAAAGTCAGGTCTTGGCATATCAAGTAATTTAACTGAATTAAGTACTTTAGTGAAAAAGTAATGTATAAACTTTGGCACAACCCTTGCTTTTATTCCCTGAATGGCCCCAATGCTACAAAAGTTATTTACAAATCAGCAAAAATGGTCTAAAGGTCTCTTTTGTCAGCTAAGTTGAACAGCAGACAATTGCATAGTTAAAACATGACTTTCCGTTTAAATCACAGAGGGATTTTCCTGGGGCCAAGGCCAAGAACACTGATGACATCGTGCTCCAAAGATGATCTCTTCTCTCTTTTTTTCTCTTCCTTAACCTTGTGTAGAAAAGTCCTTTCTCTCCTCAGTGCTTATGAATTTTATTTTCCAACCCCACCTCTAGCCCTGGGAGAACTATCACTGCAACCTTGTCTTTTTCAAAGAGTTGATGCACACATTATCTGATTTTTTTAAAGGGATGGGCTGTTAAAGGGTGGGTCACAAAACTGCACAAGAGAAAAGAACACAGTGTGAAGAAAACTGAAGCAAATGTGCACAGATTCACTCTTAGCAACAACTCACACAGTAATACAACAATAATATTCACCTTTGGGGATAAAAAACTTGACTCTGCAGAAGTTCCTCAAAGACACAAGTTATTTCTTGCAGTTTCTCTTGAAAGATTTGGTATTAATATATCAGGAACTAGCCTGCGATATAAATGATTTCGCACAAGAGCGATAGTGACTTTTAAAAGTTATTCTCATTGAATTCACATCAAGATTTTCTGTTTTTAGCAACCCGATTGGCTCTTCCCGTAAATTTAACAGCAAATCTATTAAGTGGTTCACAAACAGCATAAAATAAACTGTTTCACTGGATTTGAGCATGACAGAAGAGCTTCCAGAAAACTAAACTGCTTTTTTTTAACCATCAGAGAAACCAGCCACCAGTGAGATGCAAAAGCAAGCTGATCAGTCCATATCTGCTAGCAATTCCAGCAGTGACAAACACAATTAGCTCAATTAATTCCAGCCTAGACAGTGGCTACCTCCTCTGGAGCTAAACAGACTCAGTTACCTAGACAGAAGATGAAGAAAGTTAGACTGAGGGGAAAAGGCAAAGCTGTCCAATGATTTGGAAATTCATGAAAGTCTTTAGCAGTATTTTTGATCCTCAGGTCTAGGTTTACAGTAAATTCAAGTGTACTCTGCGGTAGAGGATTGGAAAGAATCTTCCAAGCCAGGGTTACATGTTTATTGAGATGGCTGGGGTACCTTCAATTAAGGTGGCTGCATGAGAAGCAGTGAGCTGACTCTTGTTCTGCTACACCAGGCAGACTCCGCAGGAACTGCTACTGCATCTGGAAGATGATTCCCCATCAAGATGGTCCCTGTAGATAAAGGGAACAGTAAGGAATGTGGCAGACATCACACATCTAGGAGAAGAAAAACTTGGCCAGAATTTAATCAGATCTTATACTGACACTGCCATTTCAGTTACCCTGCTTCAGATCAAACTTATGGTCTCCTATTGCACGCAATCATACTTCACAATCCCTTCTGTTAACTGATTAAATTTTCTTCAGAGCAACAGTTGTGGTTGTTGCCCTGTTAATTTCCCTAGATTTTTTAATATATTATGGCCAGTGAGAATCACTTTGCTTTTGAGAGAGATCAACAGAGAGCTTAAGGGAGGAAGCAACTCATGCTGTTCACCACAATGATGTATATTTGATTGTTTCCAGTTTTTATCTTATTTGAACTGTGGCTCAGCATGCAAACGTTCAGTGAAAGAAGCATCAGGTACTCAATGAGATAGATTAAATAGGAAAAAAACCGAGTCTATACAGCTGCCTCAGTTTTTAAAACACAGTATCATAGAGTGGTTTGATTCTTAAAAGAAATCCAGTCCAACTGCCCTGCAATGAACAGGGACACCTACAGCTCCAGCAGGTGCTCAGGACCCCATCCAGTCTGACCTTGGATGTCTCCAGGGACGGGACATCCACCACCTCTCTGGATAACCTGTTACAGTGCCTCACCGTCATTATTGTAATAAACTTCTCCCTAAGTCTTTTTGTTTGAAACCATTTGTCCTTGTCCTATCACCACAAACCCTGCTGAAGAGTTTGTCCCCTTCCTTCTTACAGCCTCCCTTTACATACTGAAGGGCCGTTCTCAGGTCTCCCCCGAGCCTTCTCTTGTTGGGGCTGAACAGCCCCAGCTCTCTCAGCCTGTCCTCGTAGGGGAGGGCTTCCATCCCTGGGATCCCTTCTGTGGCCTTTACACATGGGCTCCTTAAGTATTTTTAATAAGCAAGTTTGCCTTTCCAAGCAAACGCTCGCCATCTCAGCTCCTCCACTCTTCTGCTATGTATCTCAAACCCAAGCCCAGGCCTCTTGTGTGAGGCTGCTCTTTGTTTGGTGCCCAGGCCCAAGCTTAAATGGAGCTCCAGCTCAGGGGCACAACACGCACTGAGCCCTAGGGGACTGCTGAGGCCATTACTGCCTTTCGGAGCCCTCGGGACCCAGTCCCTCACTGCAGTCCTGTGCTCCCCTTGGCAGCGCACACCTCTTTCTTGAATTGCCCCTCACTGGAAAGCCCTCATTGTCATTTGGGAACACAGCACTGTGTCCAGATGAGGACCACATGCAGTCACCGGCAATAGCAGACCGTATTTTTGTTTGGTTTCCGGCTTGGCAGATGCCGGAAGACCTATTGAACCTGACGTTCAATGCTCACAGTCACAAACAATCCGAAGGAAGAACCAAAAGAAGAGCCACCTGCCATGCTCTGCGACAGCCGACACCCTCAGGTGCACGCCGGCACCGGCTGTCTGCGGCCGTCACCGACCTCCAGGAGGCGGCACCACGCACACGTTAAAAGGAAAGCAGGAGCACGCGCTCCTCCGCCAGCACTCCGCCCCTGCCGGCCCACCGCTGCCCGGGCCGCCCCACGGCAGCGCCGTCGCGTCGTGGTGGTGCAGGACGAGTGGAGGCGAGGCGGGCGTGCGCCATGTCGCGCTCTCAGCGCTCCCGCAGCGCCTACTACTTCTTCGTGCGTGACCGGCTGCCCGTGCTGCAGCAGCGCGGCATGCCCGTAACCCGAGTGGTCGATGGCTTTCCCCACCTCACCCAGGAGTGGGCGGTGAGGGGAAGGGCCGTCCTTCAAGGGAGAGGGCTTGGGGTGAACGATGTTTCGCCTCGGAGAGGGGGGTGGGGGGGGAGGCACCCCTGGCTAGGGGAGCGGGCTCAGGAGAAGAAATCAGTGGGATAAAAGTGCCTGTGGGCCATCGGAAGGTGCTGCGGGAGCATGTGTTCATCAGCTGTCCTGTGTTAAAGCCTGGTGGCTTTGTGAGGGGGGGAACTACCGAAAAACTACCGCTTGGTTGGGTGGTAATAGCTATCAGTGTTTGCGAAATATTGACAGCCTCCCTTTGGAAGCGTCCAAATGTTCTGTTGATTTGTGGGATTACTGAAGGAAGCGGTAAAAACTCGTTGACAATTCGCTTTGCTTCAAGCTGCTGGCGGAGGAGGAGAGGATGTTCTATGCAGAGAAGGCTCAGAAGTGGAATGAAAAGAAATCCTTCCAGAAGGCGGAGAAGGAGGTAAAGGCTCAGAAAGGAGCGCCTGTTGGGAAGTGGTGTTTGCTTCAGTGGGACTCATTCCTCCTTTTTAGTGGTGTTAACTGACAACAGCCCTTGTCGGGCAAGGACAATTATCTGGAATTCAAGTATCTGGATGTGGATGTTATTTGCAGTTTAGGCCTAGATTGCATTGTGTCAGCCTCTCTGGTTTCTGGGCATCTGCCCAAATCTTTCTGCCACCCAAAAAGCTTCATGTTTGTGTGTGGATGTGCAGTGCTTTTCTAATAGGCCTGAGAGCCCCTCTTGATTGCACAGTAGCAGAACAATCTGATGACTTGGGGATTTCTCAGCTTTTCATGAAGACCTTTCCTAATCAAAGGCAAATGAGTGGTTCAGTTGTTTTTTTTGGGCAGGGGGTGGGGGGAGTCAAAATTATGGGAATTGCTGAAAATTTCAGTCTGAAAACTTTCTTCAGTGCAACAAGTAGTTAAACTTTAACAAAATAGTACTTTTTAATTCTTCTATTACATTCAGATATTTAGCTGTAGTTCTTTCCAGCTGTGCAGGTTGAGGTACTGAAGTGACAATCTCTTGTTGGTAATGTTGCCTTAATCTGCAAGTCTGCAGACACTTGTATATAAAGATTAGTTGCACCTAGCCACAGTGAGCACTGGGCATCCCGTGTGTCTGTGATTGGACGTGGTGAGCTTTATTGGAGGTTAATTAACTTGATTGATTTTGAATTTTTTCATCTTTTCTAGATGTGTAATAATCCAGTGCCTGCTGGCGCGAGTTCAGAAATGTACAGAGTGACATCTCTTCTTGATGCTTCTGCTATATCGTGGATGAGCGATCAGGGTATGGTAATCTTATAGCAATTGATGCTGCTAGATGAAAGCTTGGCTTGTAAAGATATTCTGGGTGGTACCTGTGCAAAGATTGTTTTCGTTTTGTCAGTAGTTACTGTGTCAAATGTGTGCTTGTTCTTAGTATGATGTAGGCCTTCCTTGCTTGGAGGGACGTCAGTTCAAATGCTCCTCTGCATCCCCTGAAATAATTCTGTCCTCTGTTTTTCTTTTAGCTTAATGGGAGCATAGCTACTAATACTTTTGTTTACAGTTTCCTCAAAGCTTTCTGCTCTGACAGTTGTGATCTACAAGGCCTAATCCAAGTTCAGGATAATAGAATGTTTGTATCAAGATCCAAGAGCAAGGAGCTCAAACTCTGTATCATAAAGGTGTTGCATTAGAATGGTTTCATGGCCTTCTCAGTGAAGTAAGAGTGGATGCTTGTGTGCTTGTGAACACTACACTACTTATGTAGCACATTCTGGCTAGTTTCCTTGTTGAATGAACCCTTGAAAACCGAACTTTCCTGTCTGTGTGTTGTCTTCAAATGGATGTTTTGATTAGAAATAAGTAACAAACACATCTGGTAGTATTTTATTCTGGAAAATGATATATGTTAGTGCTTGGAATGTAAGTTAAGTAGCCAGTTAATAGAAGCTATATCTTTGCTGTTTGTTCAGGTCTCTGCTCAAGCCTGTTAACTAACTGATCTCTTGAACATGTTATGGTTATAGAGGGCCAGAAAAGAGTAGCTCTGTTTAAAAAAGTGTAATGCCTATTAGCTTTCACACTGCCAGAATCTGTTCTCAGCTATCAGACTGAGTCTGAGATGTGTTTTATGATGCTGCTTCTTAATATTTCTGCATGGTTGTCTATGTTAGGATAGTTTGTTGGTTGGTTTTTTTTTTTGGTTTTTTTTTTTTTTTTTCATGTGAAAAGATTTCCACTCGGGTGGTATTTCTTCTTTCCCACTGCAGCTTGTAGAGATTAAGATCCATGTAAGGTAGTGCCAGAACTCATTTTGGGACAAGTGGTGCTGAACACCATCAAATCTGGCCCACTGCATCATTTTAGTAGAACAAGTAAAGGTTTTGATGAGGGGCAGAGTTTGAGGGTAGGTATTATCTTAAACTTAAGGAAGAACTTATGTAGGATGTATTATATTATGTAGGATTTGTGACTATTAGGCATTAATTAACGTGAACTATTTTGTATTGTTTGGTCTTACAAAATTAAAGATACTTTATTTTGTAATGCTTTCCTTAGATATTCTTGTCTTCTTTGGGAGCTCATTCAGTGAGGACAAATGATCCTTTCAGTTAGCAGAATTCTTCCCTTCTCCTTTTACACAAAGGTTTACCAGTTCATTTAACTTACCTGATAAGTTACTGAAGCTTGTGGAAGTACTTAGCAATTACTGATTGCTTTTTTTCCTGAAGGGTAAACAGACCCATCGCAGAAAGGAGTAGTATTTGGTGTTGGATTCTAGGCCTCTTAACATTGTATATACTTATATAAGCAGATTATAATACGTATTATGTAATGTTTTTGTTTTTTCCTCTCAGCTGTGCTTGCAGACATCTTCTATTTCCTCAATGTTTACAGCCATGGCAAGCTGCCGTCCCACTGTGACCAGCGCTTCCTCCCTTGTGAAATTGGGTGTGTCAAGTACTCCCTGCAGGAAGGCATAATGGCTGAGTTCCATCACTTCATAGATTCAGGTGATTTCCAAGGAAGGGTAGCCTGGAGGTAGTTCATCTTGCTCTGGGTTGAGAGGGAAGTTCTCTAGTGTCCGTTACTGCTGCACTGATTAAATTTCTGGTATTAAGATACTTCTTTGACTACAAGTGATTAGACTTCTACTTTCAGTAATGGAGCATTGCTGTTTTCTGCTTGTTTTTTGACTGTGTACTTAAGTACTGGGACTGCATGAAGCTTTAAAGTGGGCAGGATAAATCCAGGGGGCACTTCTGGTGTTTGTGCTTTGTTTCATGCCAAGGAGTGTTTGTTCCGGACTTAACACATGAATGCAGTGCAGTGTACTCTTCTTTAAATGAATGCAACTGAAAATATTTTTTTCAGAAATAGTTGTGGTGCTTGTACAGGGCCATAGGGGAAGGTGAAGCTGCTCCTTGCTCTAAATCAAAATGTACTGCCTAGTTCAGAGTTAAAGATCTGCCGCTGCGGTGATGGATGATGGTTGTTCTTTTTCTTCCATCCCTCATGTTTTTCTGCAGAAGTACCACCACGTGGTTATCGGTACCACTGCCAGGCTGCTAGTGAGTATCAGTGGAGAAGAAGAGTGGTATGCAATGGTTTACAGATTTGGGCTCTGCTTATCTGATCTGTATCCAGTTGTTTTGTAACTTTTCCCTGGAAGTTTCTCCTGTGGACTTCCTCTCACATTTTGAAGAGGAAGGGATGACAGAACAGCCTGTTGGAGTCACCCTGCTTATTTCTCGTACTCTCAAATGGCAGAGCTCTTCACTGCTGTGTTTCCCTTGTTAAGCAATGTTTATAGATTTGTCTATTTCTATTAGTACACTTCCTCCCCTTGTGTGTGCAGAGAACAAACTTGGCCCGTGTTATCCTATATCAGATATTTAAGTAATGGCCATTCAAGAGGGGTAAATGTGGATGTGTCTGCTCACAGCCCAGACTGCCAGTCTTTTGCAAGAAATAAGGTTTTGATAACTTTAATCACACATGCTGCCTGTAGGGAAGAAAAGGTGTGTGTGTGTGTGTGTGTGTGTGTGTGTGTGTGTGTGTGTGTGTGTGT